CAATGGAGCCCATTGGTAGGGTTTATGGTGAACCCCAGAAAGTTGGAACATGGCTTTAGGATGATTCGTGCTAGGATCCCTGATACTTTACCTTAAGGGCATGAGGATAATGATGTTCCAACTTTCTGGCTTCTTCTGTATATAGGGGTGTTCATACCCCAAAAGGGTCAAAGGGCACCTACTCTAGTGCTAAAACCTAAACCCTAAACCCAACTAGTCACTCCCTTTAAGCAGCAGGTTACACCCAACGCCCAACACCCTAAACCCTATACCCTAAACCCTATACCCTAAACCCTAAACCCTAAACCCTACACCGCACCTTGTATTTCGCTGGGGCTGCTGGGGGCCGAAGCGGCCCCGGAAGCTTGACGATGGGCTCGGCCCAATCCTTCGGGGGTTTAGAGTTCCTTTAAAGGGATCTATAAGGGATCTATCAGGGGGTTTTAGGGGTTTAGGGTTTTAGGGTTTAGGGGTTTAGGGTTTAGGGGTTTTGTTTGCTTGCCTTGTTGTTGCTTTGGTTCCTCCGTTTCTGGGCGTTTGAAGCAAAAGTGCTTGGTGTGTCTGCGTGCGTTGTGTTTGTGGCTTCTCTTTTGCGATCCCAGGTATAGTTGTGTTGTGATTGTCGATGCAAGGTCTGCTATTGGAGTGTAATGTTGCGCTGTGTCGCGTTGAGACTTGCATAACTTGCCGAGGTTAGCCTAAGGGTGCATGTTGAGGGCTTGGTTTTCTAAGGGTGTTATGTCTGCGGTCGAGAGCTCCAGCGGTTTTAGTTGTTGGTCGGTGTTGACAGAACTTAGCCCTAAAACCCTAAACCGTAAACCTAAACCAAAAACCCCTAAACCCTAAACCCCTAAACGCTATTATACCCTAAACCCCTAAACCCTAGACCTAGGGTAGTTTACCCTAGCCGAGCGCGAGGATGCAAACTTGGGAGCAAGGATCCAGGATGTGACGGTTAGCGTGTACTTAGAGGGTCGGGGGACTTAGTGAGTGGGGCTTAGGGTTTAGGGTTTAGGGTTTAGGACTTAGTCAGTAGGGAATAAGTAGACTTATAAGTGATCGAAAAGGGACTCTAATTGGGGCTCTGGCTTATAAGTCTACTCATTACCTACTTACTAAGTTCCTCGACCCTCCAAGGACGCGCCACAGGGTTTGGGTTTCGAATGTCAATGCCAGCAAAGTGCCGACCACAGCCCTGGGCTGCCGAATGTTCGTAAGCACAAATGAAGACCAACTACCCTTAACGATACAGGACCCAATGCCCACATGTAGTACGCTTTTCTTCATACAAGAAAAGTTGCCTTAAAGTGAGCGGGCAGATTCGTAGGAAAATGAGGGATTACATTTGTCGTTTTCAATAAGCCCCAGCCCTGCATGCCCCAACCCGTTCGGGCTTGACTTTTGCGGTTTCGGGTAAATCTTCTTGTGCGACCTGGTCTCATTTCCCATCAATTCCTGCGGACTCCATAGCAAAATCCTGAAACCTGAAGTGCACCACTCCACTGGCACGGCTTCAAGGAACTAGCCTCCCATATTTCAGAATCCTATGGCTGGAAGCTGATGAAGATTCAAAGCATTGGTTTTAACGCCTGGGGCGCGAGCCGAAACACTAAACCCTAAACGGGTCAGTCTAGACCCCTGATCACTAAACGCCCCGGATCAAAGTGAGGATCTGCTTCAGAGGACCCTGAATGAATAAAGGTTTGCTAATCAGGGGCCTACATTGAGCCTGATTCCTGCAAAACCTTAAATCCCTAAGAGTCCATGTGCTCATATAGTATATACTTGGGCCTCCAAGTAGTCCCTATATAGGTACTTTAGTAATCAAAGTATGCTCATATGGATACAGGGACCCTTAGTC